CCATCTATTTGCTGAATATAGCACTAAAAATTTATTGGAAAATTATATAGATAATAAAAAAATACATGACATACAATGGTCTCGGACGGACGGACGAACACTCAGGTTATGGAATGAGCTCCCTGCCGAGGTTTTCCCAAAGGACTACAGCATGGGGTTCGTCAAAAGGGGGTGTGCTGTCCTCCTGGTATGGTAGGTAGGTGTAGGAAATAATAAACAATAATATGTCACAATGCGACTCACACGACCACCCACCCGGACGTCACCCAGAGGAGTGGCAGGAGCGGGGGGACTTGCAGTCTCAACTTTAATGAGTACATCACAGGGGGGTAAAGAGGTTTCTTCAGGGTCGGCAAAGCGCGCGTAATACCTCTGGTATTGCAGGCGTTCATAGGCTATGGTAACCGCTTACCATCAGGTGGGCCGTATGCTTGTTTGCCACCTCAGTGGTATAAAAGAAAATAAAAAAAAATGGACGGACGACGAATGGATAAAGTTGGACCAATCCTTTTTAATGTTTTTGGTACATAAGCCTAAAAAGAGTATAAAAGTTAAAAAATACATTAAAAAGGCCGACTGGCGAAGTCGTGTTTTTAAAGACAATACAAAGTTTAAAAATTGATAAAATGGAAAACATCTGAAACGATCGTAACAACCCCTTTCGTAATAGTTACGGTTTACTCTATCTCTTATAAATTTTATGGCGATTTAAACCAATATTAATCTGTGTGGAGTAAAGACAATCTACTTTTTTTTTTTAATAGGTGGATATGAAATGGTAACTCAGCCTGCGCTATCGGTGTTTACTAGCGGGGCACAAGTGTGTGGGATCTCGATGATGATTCCGAGTTCTAAATTCAAATATTGAAAATATTTGAATTTAGAACTCGGAATCATTGAAATATTTTATTATCAAACCTAAGTATCAAACACGTGGTACTGATTCTTTACAAAATTCATACTTATTATTATTTGTTCTTGTTTTGTATGTTTTAATATTTTAAAACATACTGTTATTTTTTTTAATGCGTAGCACTAAGATTATAGAGTGCAGAGGCATAAAACCTTAGTCCTGGGAGGAAGGGATTGTTAATAATGGAGAGGTTAGTCCCCATTGCTATCAATATACCCTATCAGGTCGACCTCTACGCGGTTCCCCCTGGAAACTATCGTGACTAATTAAATATTGAATTCGTCACAAAGGTCAGAAAACACTAACTGACCTGCCTTTTCATCCTCACCTATCATTTCTTACTGGTACCTCGTCAGCGTATATCGTTAGCGCAGGCGGAGTTGCCGCCTCCATCCATTGTCACCATAGAAAAAAAACCTTAGCCCTCAGAATTAGCAAAGTTGGAGAGGTACCGTGGGCAACACAGCGTATTCTATGATTTCCATGACGCTGTTTATATCTATAGGTGACGGTTTTTTTTATACAACTTAGAATGGCAAACAAGCTGACGGCCCACCTGATGGAAAGTGGTAACCGTCGCCTATAGACATGAGCAGTACCATGGACATAACAGAGTATACTGTTTCGCCCATGATACCCCCCATGCGTTGCCATTCCTGAGGACTCAGGTGTTACTCTGTACCCAGTAAATTCACTGCCATATTCCACCCTTCAAACCGAAACACAGCCATGCAAACACAGCTGCTTCACGGTAGAAACACGAATGGGACAGAGGTACCCAAGCAATCGACTTTTGTACAAAGTCTCCCTCTGGTGAGACCGTGGGCAACACAGCATATTCTATGATTTCCATGACGCTGTTAATATCTATAGACGACGGTTGCCACTTTTCATCAGGTGGGCCGTCAGCTTGTTTGCCATTTTAAGTTGCATAGAAAAGAACGAACATTTTGAAATACAAAAAACAGCACCCTATATCTACAAACAAATGTAAAACGTCCGTTTGTTTGTTGTTCTCGATGTCGCACTCCCTTCAATGGACCGAGAAATGTACGCTACAGCAGACACAAGAGACGTAGGGTTGTCGAAACATAAAAAAAATATATATATTAAAGTGTATTTAAAAGTACCCATAACTTTTGTTCCCCGAATTGTAATTTTTTTTTAATAACTTTCTTTTTTCTCTTTATTCCTTTCTTTTTGCTTTTATCTGCTGTTTTTATTTATCATCATTAAAATTATGTTGTATATATATATATATATATATATATATATATATATACATATATTATATACGATTTTATAATAGGACCATCCTAAACTACATTTATAATAATGTTGACATAAAAGTATCTAAAATTTAATTGATTATTAAAAAAAATTAAATTTAGAAATTGATTTTTTTTTCTAAAAAATGGCACCTTTAAATTGATTCCTTTGTCACAATGACAGTAGAGAAAGTTTAGTGTTGTTAGTTGAAGTTAGAAAATAACCGTTTCGGTAACTGTTATTTTTTCCAATAACTAGTTTTTGCCCGTAAAATGGCAATGCGTGGATTTTGGCAGTACGTAAAAAGCCTTTAGGTACCGAGGTAGGTAGGTAGGGCCTTTAACTGTAGATATCGTATGTAGACAATTTACTGCAGTAGTTTCTGCGTGATGTCGGAACAAACATACATAAGAGTCAAATAATATTAAAATTATTGGTTTGCCTTCCATTGTTCTTATCAATTCTCCACATATATGTATTTTTCTCTTACATGTCTTATAAATATCGTTTCCTACAGATATCTCTAGTTACAATTTTATCATATTAGTATAATAACTGGGCCTATAACCAAGAATATGCAAAAAGAAACGATAAAATATTTAATATGTAATAAAAATATAATTTATTAAAAAAATTAACATTGTTGTCACGATTCTGGCAAAAGTTTAAAGATAGAAATTACAAAATAAACGTTTCAACAGTAATTTAATATTCATAGTAAAAAGCAGCGACAAAATATTTGTCTCATAATAAAGATGACAGATTAAAAAATAACATCATCGTATAAATGTTCCTTATCTGTTGGTCCCGTAAAAATAATAGGAGTAAAACAGTTTTATGTAAATCACCTGGGTTCACTGTCTAATCTATTTCTGAGGTAAACACGTATAAAGCGGCACAGTGTAAAGACCACTGTCTAATCTATTTCTGCGATGAACACGCATAAGGCGTGTCATAGGCAGCACAGTGTAATCCATGCCACTAATGTTAATATTCAGTGATTACTACATTTAATGGACTACCAGTTTCTTTCTCACATCTGATAGTAAGAAAAGGTGAAGTTGCATTGATTGATTAAAACAAAACTTGATTTAAAGACATAAATACTGTGTATTAAATTGTAAATAATTGTAAATAATGTAAATTATATATATATATATATATATATATATATATATATATATATATATATATAGCCATCTTGAAACCTTATTGCGGAATATAAAAAAAGCGATTAAAAAACAGGGGTTGATTGTAAAAGGATGAAAATTTTAGGATGTATATATTTTTCAATGGTAAATCATAATAAAATAAAAATAAAAAAAATTGACAAAAAATAAAAAAAAAATATTTAGGGGTAGGCCATCTTTATCATTGAGGGGTATGAAAAATAGATGTTGGCCGATTCTCAGACCTACCCAATATGCATACAAAATTTCATAAATATCGGTAAAGCCGTTTCGGAGGAGTTTGGTAACAAACACCGCGACACGAGAATTTTATATATTAGATATACCATGAAGGTGACATATAAACATAAAGCCCGTCTGATGATACACGATCAGTTTAACCTATGGACGCTTGCAACATCAGGGATGGCACGTATGCATTGCCGAGCCTGAGCAAATCTTAATACATTCTTTTTGGAGAATTTATATTGCAGTCTCTAGGGAATACCTTGGCCAGAGCGTTCACGGAGAGAAACTCCTCTAAAACCGCACTGTACGCGGCCGTTTAACATATATTTAATAATTTAAAATAATAATGTATGTTTTAAAGAGGCTTAATAATAAAGGGACGAGCAGCAGCGCCCCCCTCCCCTTAAAATATTACTAACTGCAGTTGCTAACAAACCCCCCTGCCCCTCTTATGAGAAGGCTTATGTTCAACAGTGGATAGTCAACGGCTAATATAATGATATTATATAATTCTATAAAAAAAAATAGTTACCTATATTAATCGAAACAAAATTAGTATAGTACCAATCGTCATCAAAATTGATTCAGAATTGACAAGATATCGTGTAATGTACATACTAAAGAATACAGTCGAATCATTGAAGCACATTTTAATTATTCCTCTCCGTCGTAAGATTGGCTGGTGGAGATCACTATTTAGAGATAAGGCAGTCCATTGTTGCCTCTTTATCTTGCTTTTATGGAATTAAGTACTCATTTTGTTTGTGTCCATATTGTTAATCTTTATAATCTATATCATTCTTTGAAGGGAGCAATAAAGAGTTTTAATTTACCAGAAGGAGACTTTGTACAAAAGTCGACTGCTTGGGTACCTCTGTCCCATTCGTGTTTCAACCGTGAGGCAGTTGTGTTTGCATGCCTCTGTTTCGGTTTGAAGGGTTGAATATGGCGTGAATTTACTGAGTACAGAGGAATAACGCCCGAGTCCTCAGGAATGGCAACGCATGGGGGGTATCATGGGCGAAACAGTATACTCTGTTATGTCCATGGTACTGCTCATGTCTATAGGCGACGGTTACCACTTTTCATCAGGTGGGCCGTCAGCTTGTTTGCCATTCTAAGTAGTATAAAAAAAAAAACTTATTCATGTCCACCCTTATATTCTAGTGTGAAACGGCTGTATTTGCATGGTAGTATTTCGGTTTGAAGAATGGAATTTGATAATAAATTTTCCGGGCACAAAGACATAACACCATAGTCCTCAGCAATGGCAACTCAAGAGAGGTACTATGGATAACACAGTGTATTGTATAATGTCCATGATGTTCATATCTATGGGCAACGCTTAGCATTTTTATCGCCATTAGCGTAATTAAAAATAATTCAACAAATTTTCTTACCGTTTTAAATCCTCTGTACATGACCCTAATTTCTTGTTTTGAGAACTTAGTCTGCCTACACAGTTCTTCTAGTGCCACTGGAATAGGTTTCGGCGTCCGACTCGGCTCCAATTCGTACGCATGCTCCTCAACAGGAGACTCTGGCGGCGTCGCCATCTTTTTAATAACAGTTCTTTTTTCTCTTAGTAAATCATTCTAAAAATAACTGTTACTTTTCACAGTTACTGCGCTACAGTGCATCTCTACAAGTATCTGTCATCTTCTAAGTCCACAGATGAAAAATTTTAGTCTTTAATTTTTTTTTATTAGCGTCTGTTATAGCTGTATACGTCTAGAAGGCTATTGTACTTCATCTATGGGTGGGCGAAGGGCAGGATCATGTTCTGAAACAATATAAAAACATTTTTAATAAAAAAAAAACATGTAATAAGTTTATGTGGAACATTACTGCCGCTACTAAATCTTCCCCTGACAAGACAAACGGCTCTGCGAAACTAATATAATTGAACACGATGATTTCCCGCCAATATTGGCACGGCGCCATTTTTCTCACCGAGATTTTCAAACCTTCTTTTTAATTTAGTATGACATTGTTTATGATGTATACTCTATTTTTTATGGCTTCGTTAGTCAATCTGTAAGTGAATGTTTATATTTTCCCTTTATATGATAATTAATGAGTTAATTTTATTAGATATATCATGTATGTAATAATTGATGTTTTTAAAAATCAGCAAAAAGCTTATTTATTTATTTATAGGAAAACCGGGGATACACTAGAGCAAATAGATACAGTTTAGAATCAAAAAATAAGCCACTAATAGGTTTTCACAAGTAGCAACAATATAGATACAAGGCGCCGTACACGAAGCAACAAAAATAGGAGAAAAAAAAATACGATCAAACAAAAGGAATGAAATGTCAACCATTACAAAATAGAGTAATGTACGGCGATATATTTAATTAAAACATTTCAATTTAAAACTGAACAAAATTGTTTATATACAACATAGATAAAGAATAGTAGCTACTCTCCTTAGATTGTATAGATAGTGTATCTCCATACAAATGCGGAGAAAAACGGGTCAACTTTTTCATACAATTTTGCATGATAAACAGTTATGAGTGTTTCCTTTATAACTTCTTCTTTATATTTATTTTGTCTTCTAAATTCTGCATCCTTTTAATGCGTAAATACTTATTTTATTTATTAAATAATACGTTAAAGTACATTTTATGCGTAAATATATAGAATACTGATAAAAAAAAAAAAACGAGTCAGCTGACTTAACAATTAGCTGACAAAAAGTTGACCCGTTTTTGAGGCTCGATGCTCTATCTATGTGATCTAAGCTGCGGCCCTATCTACAATATGTTGACATAAATTTTCCTTTTTTTTTTCTTTTGATGGGTGAAAATGGTATGGTAAACCCGCCTGCGCTAACGGGATACGCTGGCGGGGCACCAGTGAAGGGTGATAGATGAGAATGAAAACAGGCCAGTTGGCCCGTCATGATGAATTCATCAGGAATTGACCATGATAGTTTCCAGGGGGAACCGCTAGGAGGTCGACCTGGTTGGGTATATTGCTAGCAATGGGATTCTCAGTCTAGATTACTAACAATCCCTTTCCAAGGTACAAAAACCTTTATGTGTATATTTCAATCTGTATTTATGTTACTGTATTTCACTTGAAATAATCACTTGTCATTGTATATTTTTATTTATGGTGCAATAAAGAGTTAAATAAATAAATAATAATTTATTTTTATTTTTATTTAAGATAAAAAAAAAAGAATTTTCCAAATCAGTTTACGACTGACGGAGTTATGGAGTAACAAACGCAAAAGATATACAAACGACTTGAGAATCCCCTTCCTTTCGAAGTCTGAAAATAAGATACCATTGGTGAGGAATTATTTTTAAATATGTTTCTCTCTCCAACATTAGCAACTGGGGGGAAAGGGATTGTTAGTAATGGAGTTTGACAGCCACATTGCTAGCAATATGCCTTATTAGGTCGACCTCCACGTATTTCCCCCTGGAAACCATCGTGAACAATTCTTGTTAAATTCGTCACGATGGTCTAACTGACCTGCTTCATCCTCACCTATCATCCTTCACTGGTACTCCGCCGGTGTATACCGATAGCACGGGTGGGGTTACCATTCCATTATCATCCATTAAAAAAAACATTAGCAACTCGAAAGATATATCCTAAAATACATTCGAAAAAATTTCAAGAGGCTCTGATTAGAAACAGACATGTAAGTAGCCGGTGGAATTAGATGGAATATTTTTAGTTATATTTAACCTTAGATTAAGTACGTTATAGTCAATGTTCAAAACGACATAATGGCTTCGTTGTACAGCACAATAAAACAGAAAATGCTCAATACATTATATACTAGCGGCCCATCTTGGCTTCACACGGGTGGACATTTTTACATTTAAAAAAATGGCCATTAAGGCTGCACGCGACGGAAGCTTAAAAATGTAGTAACTTCTCCCGTTTCCCAACATTTCCCTTCACTGCTCTGCTCCTATTGATCGTAGCGTGATGAAAAGTATACTGTAACCTGCCCAGGAGTATGAAGAATAATTGTGCCATGTTTCGTTAAAATCCGTCGAGTAGTTTTTGTTTCTATAATGAACATACGCGACAGACAGGCAAAAATTTTACTGATTGCATTTTTGGCATCAGTATCGATCACTGATCACCCGCTGATAGTTATTTTGGAAATATATTTCATGTACAGAATTGACCTCTCCACAGATTTATTATAAGTATAGATTTCCTAGTACAATAATAGTAATAATTTAAAAAGACGTTCCCTATTAATAAAATATTTATTGAAAGAAAAAAAAAACAACGAAATACTGTTTTAAAAAGTAAAATATATAAAACCTCAACACAATAAGTCTCGATTTTTTCATTACTCGATCGAAAATTACCATAGATTAAAAATACCAGAAATTACAAACAAGCTGTACATATAGGTCCTTAGCTTCGTTTGTTTCTCATATTAATAACATAAAAAAAAATCAAACTGTAACTATCATTTGCCGTGTGGTCTCTTTTTTTTTATACAACTTAGAATGGCAAACAAGCTGACGGCTCACCTGTTGGAAAGTTGTAACCGTCGCCTATAGACATGAGCAGTAGCATGGATATAACAGAGTATACTGTTTCGCCTATGATACCACCATGCGTTGCCATTCCTGAGGACTCATGTATTATGTTATGTTATGTGTGTCTCGGAATAGAATGGGCCACTTCTTCCTTTCCTGTAGGTGTTGTAAGATATGAAATTGTTTTTTTTTTATTATAAATTCTTTGGTACGCAGTATGGCACAATCACATGCATTGGCTAGTGTAGAATGCCTGTTAAGAGAACTTAAACAAAGTCAATTTGACTAGTTTCGGATTACGTAGCAACATGATGTTACACAAAGGAGAATTAATCCCTGAAGAAAATCCATCGTTTCCAGACCTTCAGTGGCCCATAAGGGATAATAAATAGTGGCACAGTTTTTATATAACTCTAGTGGCCTTGGCACTAACAGTAAAATTGCCAGATAAAAAATACTGATGTATGTACTCTATCTACGTACATAAATGTACGTAACAAAAACAACGTTACAAAAAAATAATGCCTCGTAAAACGCTTCGAACTTCACCTTGGTGTACATTCTCGTTTTGTTTGTATGATAAGTACACGGAATACTGTTTGCAGAATAAACTTATTTCTTATAGAAGCGTCGAAAAAACATAGTGTTGGCAAAAAAATATAGGAATTCTCAAGCCTGTATTTTTTCAACATGTTAAAAAAAAGTTTTGTTTTTCGTGTTCATGTGTTCATTTTTTCCGTCTAAATTTCTGAACAATTTTGGATGTATGAGGCGTCGTTAGAATCTTTACATCGTCCCGAGTGACAATGGTTAAAATTTTATTTTTAAATACTTCATTTTCGACGGGGCAAACGTGTTTTTAAATTAGCGGAGCAAAATGTACAATAAATCTTTACTAATATTATTATTATACTTATGAACATATTATTCTATATGTTTGTATATTTATTTATCTTACAATGTATTAACGTTGTTATTTCTCAAAATATTTATTTAATTTACAAATTGATTTTGTCAGATCAATGCATCGTTATTTACTCTCTCTGTCAGCGTAACAGTTGACTGGTAGATAATGCCATCAGGCATTCAGTCCGCGTCTTTTATTTATATATGTGTAAAAGTATAAATCTATTATATAAAATTCTCGTGTCGCGGTGTTTGTTACCAAACTCCTCCGAAACGGCTTTTACCGATTTTTATGAAATTTTGTGTGCATATTGGGTAGGTCTGAGAATCGGCCAACATCGATTTTCCATATCCGCTAATGATAAGAGTGACCCACTATATTTTTTTAATTTTTTGCCAATTTTTTTTTATTTTTATTTTATTATGACTAAGCATCGAAAAATACATACAGCTTCAAATTTTTATCCTTTTACGATCAACCCCTGTTGTTTAATCGCGATTTTTATATGCCGCAATAGGGTTGCAAGATGACGATCGAATATAATAATTGTAGTACGATAAATATTCATGTATAGTTCTCGAAATAATGTATATGGTAAAACAACGTTTGCCGAGTCAGCTAGTATATTATAAATATGAAAGTATGTTTGTTCATTGCATTCTAGCGCCATATTGATTTAACCAATCGTTATGAGATTTGCTATACAACTACTGTATGGGATGGAGAAGCATATAGGCTACTTCTTATTCAGGTCAATAAACAGTTACCAGAGGGAGACTTTGTACAAAAATTGATTGCTTGGGTACCTCTGTCCCCTTCGTGTTTCAACCGTGAAGCAGTTGTGTTTGCATGGCTGTGTTTCAGTTTGAAGGGTGGGATATGGCGTGAATTTACTGGGTACAGAGGAATAACACCTGAGTCCTCAGGAATGGCAACGCATGGGGGGTATCATGGGCATAAACAGTATTCTCTGTTATGTCCATAGTACTGCTCATGTCTATAGGCGACGGTTACCACTTTTTATCAGGTGGGCCGTCAGCTTGTTTGCCATTCTAAATTGTATATAAAAAAAAATATTCCGGTTATACAAACGAAGTCGCGGGTAAAAACGAGTAAATAATAAAATTTATTTTCAGAATTGAAAAGCGGTATCCGTCGCCTATAGACATGAACAGAACCCAAGCCTTTACAAAATGCCTACACTGTTCCAACCTCAAACAATGCCTTTGTTCGGTTACGTTGGTACAGAATTGGTGACATAATTGAAATAAATAGCTAATAGCAGAAAATTTAATACTAAGTGAGAAAGGGGGGGAAGGGGATTGTTAGTAATGAAGACTGAGA